ACTTTCATGTTTGAAAACGTTGTTTGTGATGTGGATTCTGATCACTGTATAAGGCAGAAACATCTAGACACAATGCAAAGGACTATGTGCGCATAGTAAACATGGTAAATATGATCGCTTGAAGAAATCAGACAAATCATAGGCTATCACAATCATGTTTTATCTTATCTGTCAGTGCGTCTCGTCTCTTTATACCGGACTGATATCCATATCTAGCTCCGCATATGTCATAAAATAAAGCAACTTTTCTCTGACTGAAACGTTTCTCTGACTGAAAATATAACCGTACTGGGAGAGAGTGCTAAAGCTCCTCAGGTCGTATTTTTGGAGGCATATTTGTAAAAATGATAATTCTTTCTAAATGTGATGTAAACACTGTCCTGTGACTGCAACTAAACAGAAACAGACGCGACTGAATAACGTGTGTCCTCTATCTTTTGTGAAATAACGGTAAACCACTTTATTTCTGTATGACTAATGTGCAATCTTGACACAACTTAATTCATTATGATCAATGTATCACTTTTTATTGTAAACCTGTGGTAAAACATCAATGCTTGGGTTTTACATTTTTAAGTAAACAACAAAATTGCCAGCAAACGGTCGCTTTTATCATGTTCGTTTTGCGATCTCGCTGTTTCCAGTGATTTCTTTCTGATTAGTTTTCTGATAAATCTTCCATTAGTGGGCGAAATGATGGGTGTGTGTGCCATTGTTCCAGAGAGGTGTGTTACGGGTGTGTTTTAGTGAAGCGCTGCAGAGCTCAGTGTGTTTTGGTCTCGGTGCTCCAGACCCGCGGCTATTAGCCCCGCCCGCCCGTTTAAAGCCCGCTCACACTGGCCCGACAGTGGAAACGCAGTGTGTTTTGGTCTCGGTGCTCCAGACCCGCGGCTATTAGCCCCGCCCGCCCGTTTAAAGCCCGCTCGCACTGGCCCGACAGTGGAAACGCAGTGTGTTTTGGTCTCGGTGCTCCAGACCCGCGGCTATTAGCCCCGCCCGCCCGTTTAAAGCCCGCTCACACTGGCCCGACGGTGGAAACGCAGTGTGTTTTGGTCTCGGTGCTCCAGACCCGCGGCTATTAGCCCCGCCCGCCCGTTTAAAGCCCGCTCGCACTGGCCCGACGGTGGAAACGCAGTGTGTTTTGGTCTCGGTGCTCCAGACCCGCGGCTATTAGCCCCGCCCGCCCGTTTAAAGCCCGCTCACACTGGCCCGACAGTGGAAACGCAGTGTGTTTTGGTCTCGGTGCTCCAGACCCGCGGCTATTAGCCCCGCCCGCCCGTTTAAAGCCCGCTCGCACTGGCCCGACAGTGGAAACGCAGTGTGTTTTGGTCTCGGTGCTCCAGACCCGAGGCTATTAGCCCCGCCCGCCCGTTTAAAGCCCGCTCGCACTGGCCCGACAGTGGAAACGCAGTGTGTTTTGGTCTCGGTGCTCCAGACCCGAGGCTATTAGCCCCGCCCGCCCGTTTAAAGCCCGCTCGCACTGGCCCGACAGTGGAAACGCAGTGTGTTTTGGTCTCGGTGCTCCAGACCCGAGGCTATTAGCCCCGCCCGCCCGTTTAAAGCCCGCTCGCACTGGCCCAACGGTGGAAACGAAGTGTGTTTTGGTCTCGGTGCTCCAGACCCGAGGCTATAGGCCCCGCCCGCCCGTTTAAAGCCCGCTCACACTGGCCTGACCGTGGAAACGCAGTGTGTTTTGGTCTCGGTGCTCCAGACCCGAGGCTATAGGCCCCGCCCGCCCGTTTAAAGCCCGCTCACACTGGCCTGACGGTGGAAACGCAGTGTGTTTTCGTCTCGGTGCTCCAGACCCGAGGCTATTAGCCCCGCCCGCCCGTTTAAAGCCCGCTCACACTGGCCTGACGGTGGAAACGCAGTGTGTTTTCGTCTCGGTGCTCCAGACCCGAGGCTATTAGCCCCGCCCGCCCGTTTAAAGCCCGCTCGCACTGGCCCGATGGTGTAAACGCAGTGTGTTTTGGTCTCGGTGCTCCAGACCCGCGGCTATTAGCCCCGCCCGCCCGTTTAAAGCCCGCTCGCACTGGCCCAACGGTGGAAACGCAGTGTGTTTTGGTCTCGGTGCTCCAGACCCGAGGCTATAGGCCCCGCCCGCCCGTTTAAAGCCCGCTCACACTGGCCTGACGGTGGAAACGCAGTGTGTTTTCGTCTCGGTGCTCCAGACCCGCGGCTATTAGCCCCGCCCGCCCGTTTAAAGCCCGCTCGCACTGGCCCAACGGTGGAAACGCAGTGTGTTTTGGTCTCGGTGCTCCAGACCCGAGGCTATAGGCCCCGCCCGCCCGTTTAAAGCCCGCTCACACTGGCCTGACGGTGGAAACGCAGTGTGTTTTCGTCTCGGTGCTCCAGACCCGCGGCTATTAGCCCCGCCCGCCCGTTTAAAGCCCGCTCGCACTGGCCCAACGGTGGAAACGCAGTGTGTTTTGGTCTCGGTGCTCCAGACCCGCGGCTATTAGCCCCGCCCGCCTGTTTAAAGCCCGCTCGCACTGGCCCAACGGTGGAAACGCAGTGTGTTTTGGTCTCGGTGCTCCAGACCCGCGGCTATTAGCCCCGCCCGCCCGTTTAAAGCCCGCTCGCACTGGCCCAACGGTGGAAACGCAGTGTGTTTTGGTCTCGGTGATCCAGACTCGAGGCTATTAGCCCCGCCCGCCCGTTTAAAGCCCGCTCGCACTGGCCCAACGGTGGAAACGCAGTGTGTTTTGGTCTCGGTGCTCCAGACCCGCGGCTTTTAGCCCCGCCCGCCCGTTTAAAGCCCGCTCGCACTGGCCCGACGGTGGAAACGCAGTGTGTTTTGGTCTCGGTGCTCCAGACCCGCGGCTATTAGCCCCGCCCGCCCGTTTAAAGCCCGCTCGCACTGGCCCAACGGTGGAAACGCAGTGTGTTTTGGTCTCGGTGCTCCAGACCCGCGGCTATTAGCCCCGCCCGCCCGTTTAAAGCCCGCTCGCACTGGCCCACGGTGGAAACGCAGTGTGTTTTGGTCTCGGTGCTCCAGACCCGAGGCTATTAGCCCCGCCCGCCCGTTTAAAGCCCGCTCACACTGGCCTGACGGTGGAAACGCAGTGTGTTTTCGTCTCGGTGCTCCAGACCCGAGGCTATTAGCCCCGCCCGCCCGTTTAAAGCCCGCTCACACTGGCCCGACGGTGTAAACGCAGTGTGTTTTGGTCTCGGTGCTCCAGACCCGAGGCTATTGGCCCCGCCGCCCGTTTAAAGCCCGCTCGCACTGGCCCGACGGTGTAAACGCAGTGTGTTTTGGGCTCGGTGCTCCAGACCCGCGGCTATAGGCCCTGCCGCCCATTTAAACCCCACTCGCACTGGCCCGACGGTGGAAACGCAGTGTGTTTTGGGCTCGGTGCTCCAGACCCGAGGCTATAGGCCCTGCCGCCCATTTAAAGCCCGCTCGCACTGGCCCGACGGTGGAAACGCAGTGTGTTTTGGGCTCGGTGCTCCAGACCCGAGGCTATAGGCCCTGCCGCCCATTTAAACCCCACTCGCACTGGCCCGACGGTGGAAACGCAGTGTGTTTTGGGCTCGGTGCTCCAGACCCGAGGCTATAGGCCCTGCCGCCCATTTAAAGCCCGCTCGCACTGGCCCAACGGTGGAAACGCAGTGTGTTTTGGGCTCGGTGCTCCAGACCCGCGGCTATTAGCCCCGCCCGCCCGTTTAAAGCCCGCTCGCACTGGCCCGACGGTGTAAACGCAGTGTGTTTTGGTCTCGGTGCTCCAGACCAGAGGCTATTAGCCCCGCCCGCCCGTTTAAAGCCCGCTCGCACTGGCCCGACGGGAGAAACGCAGTGTGTTTTGGTCTCGGTGCTCCAGACCCGAGGCTATTGGCCCCGCCGCCCGTTTAAAGCCCGCTCGCACTGGACCGACAGTGTAAACGCAGTGTGTTTTGGGCTCGGTGCTCCAGACCCGAGGCTATAGGCCCTGCCGCCCATTTAAAGCCCGCTCGCACTGGCCCGACGGTGTAAACGCAGTGTGTTTTGGTCTCGGTGCTCCAGACCCGAGGCTATAGGCCCTGCCGCCCGTTTAAAGCCCGCTCGCACTGGCCCGACGGTGGAAACGCAGTGTGTTTTGGGCTCGATGCTCCAGACCCGCGGCTATAGGCCCTGCCGCCCATTTAAAGCCCGCTCGCACTGGCCCGACGGGGGAAATACAGTGTGTTTTGGTCTCGGTGCTCCAGACCCGAGGCTATTGGCCCCGCCGCCCGTTTAAAGCCCGCTCGCACTGGCCCGACGGTGTAAACGCAGTGTTTTGGGCTCGGTGCTCCAGACCCGAGGCTATAGGCCCTGCCGCCCATTTAAAACCCGCTCGCACTGGCCCGACGGTGGAAACGCAGTGTGTTTTGGTCTCGGTGCTCCAGACCCGAGGCTATTGGCCCCGCCGCCCGTTTAAAGCCCGCTCGCACTGGCCCGACGCTGTAAACGCAGTGTTTTGGGCTCGGTGCTCCAGACCCGAGGCTATAGGCCCTGCCGCCCATTTAAAGCCCGCTCGCACTGGCCCGACGGTGGAAACGCAGTGTGTTTTGGGCTCGGTGCTCCAGACCCGAGGCTATAGGCCCTGCCGCCCATTTAAAGCCCCCTCGCACTGGCCTGACGGTGGAAACGCAGTGTGTTTTGGTCTCGGTGCTCCAGACCCGAGGCTATTAGCCCCGCCCGCCCGTTTAAAGCCCGCTCGTACTGGCCCGATGGTGTAAACGCAGTGTGTTTTGGGCTCGGTGCTCCAGACCCGAGGCTATAGGCCCTGCCGCCCATTTAAAGCCCGCTCGCACTGGCCCGACGGTGGAAACGCAGTGTGTTTTGGGCTCGGTGCTCCAGACCCGAGGCTATAGGCCCTGCCGCCCATTTAAAGCCCCCTCGCACTGGCCTGACGGTGGAAACGCAGTGTGTTTTGGTCTCGGTGCTCCAGACCCGAGGCTATTAGCCCCGCCCGCCCGTTTAAAGCCCGCTCGCACTGGCCCGACGGTGGAAACGCAGTGTGTTTTGGGCTCGGTGCTCCAGACCCGCGGCTATAGGCCCTGCCGCCCATTTAAAGCCCGCTCGCACTGGCCCGACGGTGGAAACGCAGTGTGTTTTGGTCTCGGTGCTCCAGACCCGCGGCTATTAGCCCCGATCGCCCGTTTAAAGCCCGCTCGCACTGGCCCGATGGTGTAAACGCAGTGTGTTTTGGGCTCGGTGCTCCAGACCCGCGGCTATTAGCCCCGCCGCCCGTTTAAAGCCCGCTCGCACTGGCCTGACGGTGGAAACGCAGTGTGTTTTGGGCTCGGTGCTCCAGACCCGCGGCTATTGGCCCCGCCGCCCGTTTAAAGCCCGCTCGCACTGGCCTGACGGTGTAAACGCAGTGTGTTTTGGGTTCGGTGCTCCAGACCCGCGGCTATAGGCCCTGCCGCCCATTTAAAGCCCGCTCGCACTGGCCCGACGGTGGAAACGCAGTGTGTTTTGGGCTCGGTGCTCCAGACCCGAGGCTATAGGCCCTGCCGCCCGTTTAAAGCCCGCTCGCACTGGCCCGACGGTGGAAACGCAGTGTGTTTTGGGCTCGGTGCTCCAGACCCGCGGCTATAGGCCCTGCCGCCCATTTAAAGCCCGCTCGCACTGGCCCGACGGTGGAAACGCAGTGTGTTTTGGTCTCGGTGCTCCAGACCCGCGGCTATTAGCCCCGATCGCCCGTTTAAAGCCCGCTCGCACTGGCCCGATGGTGTAAACGCAGTGTGTTTTGGGCTCGGTGCTCCAGACCCGCGGCTATTAGCCCCGCCGCCCGTTTAAAGCCCGCTCGCACTGGCCTGACGGTGGAAACGCAGTGTGTTTTGGGCTCGGTGCTCCAGACCCGCGGCTATTGGCCCCGCCGCCCGTTTAAAGCCCGCTCGCACTGGCCTGACGGTGTAAACGCAGTGTGTTTTGGGTTCGGTGCTCCAGACCCGCGGCTATTAGCCCCGCCCGCCCGTTTAAAGCCCGCTCGCACTGGACCGACGGTGGAAACGCAGTGTGTTTTGGGCTCGGTGCTCCAGACCCGAGGCTATTGGCCCCGCCGCCCATTTAAAGCCCGCTCGCACTGGCCTGACGGTGTAAATGCAGTGTGTTTTGGTCTCGGTGCTCCAGACCCGAGGCTATAGGCCCTGCCGCCCAATTAAAGCCCGCTCGCACTGGCCCGACGGTGGAAACACGGCTGTTGTCTGTCAGTGTACCTTGAAGGAGATCTCGGAGGTCATGGTGAAGCCGTGTGTGATGAGCGGCTCCTCGTCAGTCCGACCCTTCCAGCAGTCGAGCTCCACACACCGGCAGCCGGACAGCAGGACCTGCCGATAGATCTCCACTGAGGAGTTTCCCGCCAGCTGACCCGCTGACACACACAGACAAGTCAAGTCACCTTTAGTTATATAGAGCTTTTCACAACACAGAGTTTCACAGCAGCTTCACAGAGATAACAGGAAAATAATGCAGCAGAGTTTGTTTCCAGAAGAAAATAGCGTCACAGTCCAGCTTAAGTCAGTTCAGTGATGTTTCATTTCTGTTGTAAAAAAGTTATTAATTTAGTAAATTTATATATTTATAGCCACTCTGGAGAAAACTGTGATGTCATCGTCCAGCTCAGTTCAGTTCTCATATAATGGTGTCAATGCAGGAGATCAATAATATTGTTGAATATTAAATGAAATGTCCCCGACTAAGCAAGACAAAAGCCAAAGGAGACAGTAGACACATAGAGCACGTGTTTCTCCTCCTTTTAAAAGCTGATCCGTCCATTTATTTGCTCTCATAACATTGTATGCAAACTGTAAAAGTTATTATAGCATTTCACTTGCAACACTAATGTACATCAGCTGAGAAGAAATGCAACGCAAAGCCATTAATGGTGGAGAATCGGTCATTACAGAAATCACATTTCTGAGCGATTATGTACTTCCTGTCTGATTGACATAATTGACAGAACTCATAGAAATGAATCTGAAAATGCATTAGTAAGACATCTCGTGTTTTATTGCTAATTTGAGTATATTGATTGCAAGTGCTGAAACCATGTCTAATTGAAGTACTGCCATTAGCGCAAATGATACAGACATTAATATAATAATTCTACAACTAAGTAAGTGCAAAAACCGCCGGGACATTTTAGAGTCCATCTTCACTCGAATGGCTAATTCTAAATGCATTAGCATCTGAAAAAACATTCATACTGGATCATATGTTCAGACCACAAATGACAGACATTGAGGATTATTTGGATATTTCTGAGCATTTGGTCTCACTGTAGTTCATGTTCAAAGGCTAAACATCTGCTTTATGTTCACATCCAATTATTCATTTAGCCGGAATGAAGACAGAAACAGCAATTAAAAACCCAAACTAAATCCCTGACGGTTGTGGTCTTTATTACGGCATTCACTGCTAACTGTCGTGGGTCACACTAGCAGCGCTGTGCGGCTATAGAGCCTGAGGCTGGGATTTTATATTTCATGAATGACAAACACATTTTGGGATGAAGAGTGATATTCTTACCACCTTTGCTGGCCAAAGAGACACATTCTCTCAAAATTCATATGTATAAGAGGAAGATATTTTGTTCAGATAATGTGACGATGATAATGTAATGTTTAATTTATGACAGGAATGAAAACGATTCTGTGAGAGACAGAAATACGATGTTTTCAATGGATCGTACTGCTGTTTAACAACATGCTGATTGTTCAACTGACAAAATATTTTTCCAAAAATCCTACAGTATATAAAAACCCAATAAAACACTTTTGAAAGTTCTGCGTTTTGAAAGTGACGTGATCTTTATACAGTCCATGACACTGTAAAGACTGTGGTCTATCCCTCACAGCCTGGGGAACATTCAGTATGACATCAGCCCTGACTAATGTCTATAGGTGGACTGATGTGTCGTGTGAGTCTTCTGATTGGCTGACCTGTGAGGTAGGTGTCGTATGAGACGTCTGATTGGCTGACCTGTGAGGTAGGTGTCGTGTGAGTCGTCTGATTGGCTGACCTGTGAGGTAGGTGTCGTATGAGACGTCTGATTGGCTGACCTGTGAGGTAGGTGTCGTGTGAGTCGTCTGATTGGCTGACCTGTGAGGTAGGTGTCGTATGAGACGTCTGATTGGCTGACCTGTGAGGTAGGTGTCGTGTGAGTCGTCTGATTGGCTGACCTGTGAGGTAGGTGTCGTATGAGACGTCTGATTGGCTGACCTGTGAGGTAGGTGTCGTGTGAGTCGTCTGATTGGCTGACCTGTGAGGTAGGTGTCGTGTGAGTCGTCTGATTGGCTGACCTGTGAGGTAGGTGTCGTATGAGACGTCTGATTGGCTGACCTGTGAGGTAGGTGTCGTATGAGACGTCTGATTGGCTGACCTGTGAGGTAGGTGTCGTGTGAGTCGTCTGATTGGCTGACCTGTGAGGTAGGTGTCGTGTGAGTCGTCTGATTGGCTGACCTGTGAGGTAGGTGTCGTGTGAGTCGTCTGATTGGCTGACCTGTGAGGTAGGTGTCGTGTGAGTCGTCTGATTGGCTGACCTGTGAGGTAGGTGTCGTGTGAGTCGTCTGATTGGCTGACCTGTGAGGTAGGTGTCGTGTGAGTCGTCTGATTGGCTGACCTGTGAGGTAGGTGTCGTGTGAGTCGTCTGATTGGCTGACCTGTGAGGTAGGTGTCGTGTGAGTCGTTTGATTGGCTGACCTGTGAGGTAGGTGTCGTGTGAGTCGTCTGATTGGCTGACCTGTGAGGTAGGTGTCGTGTGAGTCGTCTGATTGGCTGACCTGTGAGGTAGGTGTCGTGTGAGTCGTCTGATTGGCTGACCTGTGAGGTAGGTGTCGTGTGAGTCGTCTGATTGGCTGACCTGTGAGGTAGGTGTCGTGTGAGTCGTCTGATTGTCTGACCTGTGAGGTAGGTGTCGTGTGAGTCGTCTGATTGTCTGACCTGTGAGGTAGGTGTCGTGTGAGTCGTCTGATTGGCTGACCTGTGAGGTAGGTGTCGTGTGAGTCGTCTGATTGGCTGACCTGTGAGGTAGGTGTCGTGTGAGTCGTCTGATTGGCTGACCTGTGAGGTAGGTGTCGTGTGAGTCGTCTGATTGGCTGACCTGTGAGGTAGGTGTCGTGTTAGACGTCTGATTGGCTGACCTGTGAGGTAGGTGTCGTGTGAGTCGTCTGATTGGCTGACCTGTGAGGTAGGTGTCGTGTGAGACGTCTGATTGGCTGACCTGTGAGGTTGGTGTCGTGTGAGTCGTCTGATTGGCTGACCTGTGAGGTAGGTGTCGTGTGAGTCGTCTGATTGTCTGACCTGTGAGGTAGGTGTCGTGTGAGTCGTCTGATTGGCTAACCTGTGAGGTAGGTGTCGTGTGAGTCGTCTGATTGGCTGACCAGTGAGGTAGGTGTCGTGTGAGTCGTCTGATTGGCTGACCTGTGAGGTAGGTGTCGTGTGAGACGTCTGATTGGCTGACCTGTGAGGTAGGTGTCGTGTGAGACGTCTGATTGGCTGACCTGTGAGGTAGGTGTCGTGTGAGACGTCTGATTGGCTGACCTGTGAGGTAGGTGTCGTGTGAGTCGTCTGATTGGCTGACCTGTGAGGTAGGTGTCGTGTGAGTCGTCTGATTGGCTGACCTGTGAGGTAGGTGTCGTGTGAGTCGTCTGATTGGCTGACCAGTGAGGTAGGTGTCGTGTGAGTCGTCTGATTGGCTGACCTGTGAGGTAGGTGTCGTGTGAGTCGTCTGATTGGCTGACCTGTGAGGTAGGTGTCGTGTGAGTCGTCTGATTGGCTGACCTGTGAGGTATGTCGTGTGAGTCGTCTGATTGGCTGACCTGTGAGGTATGTCGTGTGAGTTGTCTGATTGGCTGACCTGTGAGGTAGGTGTTGTGTGAGTCGTCTGATTGGCTGACCTGTGAGGTAGGTGTTGTGTGAGTCGTCTGATTGGCTGACCTGTGAGGTATGTCGTGTGAGTCGTCTGATTGGCTGACCTGTGAGGTATCGAGTGAGTCGTCTGATTGGCTGACCTGTGAGGTATCGAGTGAGTCG